TAGCATGTTCTCAGCTGTCTGGAATGCCGTATATACTGTCCCAACTAAAATCAGGATGTAAAATCATGTGTAAAGCATTTGTTTCATTAGCTAAGGCATTCATCTCAATAAGAGGAAGTGTTTTTCTGGTGGTCTACTATGCTATCATATCACAAAAACATGAGGAAACAGATCTTTCAGAAACTTGAAGAGTATAAAGAAAGGGGTTGGATTTAAATTGAAAGCCACCAACATCAGCAATATTTACTTGACATTGAGGGACACCTCAAAGAGTTGGTGACTCATCCATTAGACCAATGATATGCAAGAGGGATGCTTCTTCCCACACGCATGACTCCAAGGGCAAACAGTCCCCTAATGATAGCACAATATCGACCTGCAGTAGTTCCCCCAGGCAAAAGTGAGCTGGCCAGCATCAAAGAGCAGAACTGTCATAGTAAGGAGGAGAAAACACTAGTGTTTCTTAGTTTACCACAGCAAAAAAACAGCAAGGAAAGGAGAAGAGTGTTACACAGCAGTGCTCATGGCCACTGAGGATGGACAGAAGAACATACAAAGACATCCCCTTCCACAGTCGACACAGGGAGCAAAAAAATAAACCAATCACGGTGATACCACTGGTTGAGTGCCTGCCTGGAAGTGTGTGTGTGTGTGTGTGTGTCTGCATGTGTCTGTGTGTGTGTGTGGGGGGGGGGGGTGTCTGGGTGTGTAAAGGAAAGAAAAGAAGGGAAGGGGGCAGGTAAGCTAGCAAGTGAAAGGCCACAGACTCTCAAGAATAAAAACAAGAAAACCGCTGTCTCTATCTAATAGGATCCAGTACTCAAGCAATTGGAGTGGAATGGTAATAACCAACTTGGAAAGATCAAACACTCATCAGTTGAACAAGGAGAAGGAAGAACAAGGCAGCAGCATGAAGACTGGAGACACAAGAGAGAGTAGTAGGTTTGGGAAAATGCTAGAGGCAGTGGTCTAAACACGCACATAGTTGCATACATATTCAGAGATCTAAAGATAGTAATGTGTATACATTTATGTGCATATACAAGCACACATATGCATGCCTAGCTATTATAGCTGACTCTGTTGTTGCACTCCCCCCCACACACACACATACACACTCACTGCTACCACTTGAACACAAGGCCAGATTTCCAACTGCTAACACCTGTATTTCTTCCTCTGGCCACCTGAGTGGCAGGCTAGAAATGCTACCCAGTCAATGCACTCCTAGGAGAAGCCCCCAACTAATGACAGTTGGGAGTTGGTATAGAAATAACTCAGCTCTTTCATCACTTAGTAAGAAAATCATGAGGCATGAATTTTATACAGGTTTCCAGAGTTTCCCCAGTAGGATTAAGATCTGGTAATCCACACTGATAGTTCATTTGATATCTTGGTTTATTTGTGCTGCTATCACAAAATGCTACCGACTGGGGAATTTAAAAAGAAACTGATATTTATTTCGCACAATTCTGAGACTGAGAAGCCCAATATCAAGGCACCACCAGGTCTGGTCTCTGTTGAGGTCTGCTTTTCCTGCTTCCAAGATGGCGTCTTCTCTGCATCCTCTGGAGGGCAGGAAGTCTGTGTCCTTATGTGGCGGTAGGAATGGAAGGGTAAGAGAAGTCAAACTTTCCCCCTCAAGCCCTTTCATTAGGACACTACGCCATTTGTGAGAGATGATTTCCCCATGGCCTAATTACCACCTCTTAAGATCATCACAATGAGAAATAAAATTCAGCACATGGTTTTGGGGGGACATTCAGACCATAGCACTTGGTAACATACCCTCTACTGGCTGCCTCCCCTCCGTGTTTCATTTCCACATTCTTCTGTCAGTCTTTTTTATCTCCTACATAAACTATTTACATTCAAATAATTGTCTCAGGGTCTGTTTTTGAAGGAATCCAAACTTAGACATGTAAATATGTGTGTTTGGATTTGTATTTATATTCACACTTACATATATATATATTTGTTTATATGTGTGTATGTGTCTAGATAAATACAAATACAGTTTTACATACACACAAATATATGTTCACATAAATATAGTTGGCCTTCCGTATCCATGAGTACCACATCTGTGGATTCAACTGCCTACAGATGGAAAGTATTTGGAGAAATTTCTGAATCTGTACTGAACATACACAGACACAGACTTTTTCCCTTGTCATTATTCTCTAAACAATAGAGTATGACAACTATTTACATAGCACTTACATTGTTTTAGGCATTGTAAGTGATCTACAAATGATTTAAAGTATTTGGAAGATGTATGTAGGTTGTCAGTGATTATCACACAGTTTGATATAAGGAACTTGCGTCTGTAGATTTTGGTATCCACAGGGGGTGCTGACCCCAACCCCCAAAAGATACTGAAGGACAACTGTCCTATATATGTGCTCAAATGAATAAATGTTTTCCTTTTTACCAAAGCACATCAAGTTATTATAGACCATCTTCTTTTGTCAGAGGAACCTGAAGCCTAATGTTCTGAATGGCCCCTACCCCATAATGGCCCCATAATAACCTCCCCAGCAGCATTCGATCTCCTCCTGACCATGGTAGAAGCCCTGCTCCAGTATTTCCCTCTCATTCAGAAAGATGGCACCTCACACCCCACCCATGCTACCCGCCACAGTTACCACGCCAGCTGCTGGCTTACGCTGACGAGCCTCATGCCTGTCAGCTACAAAGCCAGACCATACATCTGCATTATTACATTCTCACGCAGACACCTCCACAGCTGCAATCTCAAATCAAGGCCAAGTACTGCCAAGACATTAGGGTTTTATTTAGTGCACTACATCAAAAGATAGCAAAATGAAAGAATATGAAAATCCAGGTTATTCTAATAATGAGCATCAACAAAGTTTACACCTTAGATTTTTTTGTATTCATAAAAAGAAAAACTGCTCCAGGACCCTCCCCCACACCCAAGCCCACACATCCATGTCCTAACCTCAGGCGAGAACTCCAGCCTCTCTCCCACTTATTCTACTAGTAGAAAAGGCGGGCGTCAGAAATATAATCAAAAGCATAAGTGGCCCTTTAAGTGCTGAGGGTGAAACACACAAAATTAGAAAAAAATCCAGGACTGATAAGAATACAAGAAACAAGACTATAGACGTGTAGGAATGGACATGTAGGTCTGGAAAGAACTCAGCTGGCAGGAAGGCTTGGGCAAGTGACGACATCTTTGGATTTTTACTTTGTCAACCAAAAATGAAAGCAGGACTTTAAGGGGCCTGAACTTGGCCCTAAGGTGTGTTTCATTCAGCATATGCTAAGTTGAAAAACAAATAAAATTCAATGCCTCAGTATATTTGGATCTGTGACCCCTGTGCACATAAGGCCTGAGCTCATTTCTAGTTCCAAGGTTGGATTCCTTGGACTGATGTCATCAGTAGAACTTGAGGAACTCCCATCCTTCTCACCACCTTCTAAGTTTCCTCCCTGAAGAGCTCAGCTATCTGACCTTGACACACCTTGATCAGAAAGGCAATTTGTGCAAGCATACATTTAAAATTTCCTCTTGATAAGTGCCTTATTTCTCCCTCATTCTACTCCTAGAAGAATGAGATTACGATGAAAATTACCAGAAAATGCTACAGCTTCCAATATGGAAGAAATAAAATTGAGAAATTGGCAATATTTAATAGCAAATAGAAATCATTTACATAAAAACAATAAGTCTATCTACCCAGCATTGGCAAGAAAATAAGAGGTTCAACTGAAATATGCAAGGCAATGTTCATTTTCATTGGTAAATTATTTTTGTTTTTAACATATTACATAAATATAACATGTTTTAAACCCAGATATATAGACACATACACATTTTCCTTTCTTCCCTCCTCCCATCTCTTCCTTCCTTTTCTTCTTCTCCATACAAAAACCATCACTCTTGGTCATATTGGTTTTAATCTAGACTCTAGTTTGGATATGCATATGCTATAGGAAGAGCAAAAGATTTTAGAAAAGACATGTAGAGAAATGATAAATGCTATAATTTATGATGATCCACATCTGATTCTGCTTTGGTGAAATTAGGATGCTAGAGTTCCCCATGTATTTTTTATTATTCTGCAATACCCTCTAAGTCACAAGTGACTTGGAAAATGTATGTTCTTTATTACACAAGAGGGGAAAAATATATGGCTGCATTAACTCCCTATTGTAAATAACTTGGAACAGCTGCTGAAGACCAGATTCCCCATCACCACCATCACCACTACCAAATTTAAAGTACATTAATTATAAAGATCCCTTTAAAATTGCTGCATGGGTCAACTTCCTCTTCTCATTCCTATGCATTCTGGGGATATTCTGAGTAAGTGGATTAAAAATCAGCAATGCTTAGAAATAGCAATCTATGGCTTTGTGCTACTAATCCATACTCTGCCCTAAATGGACACAGGCAATTTCCTCCCATCCATTCTCTGCAACTGTACCTGACCAGCTCTCACCCAACAGAATGCACTGAGCTGTGTACTTTTCCCTAACTGCTTACTGTGAGCCTGCATTCAATTCAACAGCTGACTCAGCAAGAAGCTCCTCTGCCCTCAAAAAAGAACAGAAAATCCATGGTATTTCCCAAAAGGAGGCTGATGGAAGAAAATCAGCTGCTCTCTGTCACTCTTTGGAGCAGCAGTTCTTAATTGGAAGCGACTTTGTTCTCCAAGGGATACTGGGCAATATCTGCAGACATTACTGGCCCTACAACTGGGGGGAGGGGTACTCCTTAGAACCTAATGGGTTGAGGCTAGGCATGCTACTAAATACCCTACAGTACACAAGACAGTCCCCACAACACAGAAGTACCCACCCCAGAGTGTCAGTAGTGCTGAGGCTGAGAAACCTGCTTCCGAGGAAAGAGCTTGTCCCTTGGTTGGAGAAGAGAATAGAGAGAACCTAAGAGTCAGGGCTGTTATCAGTGAGTACAAGCATCAAGTAACCGGAAGGATCACCCTAGCCACAGCTACAGCAGGACTTACAACACAGGAACACTTGATACACTTGTTTCCTTCTGGATGAAATTCCTCTCCTTCCCGATACTGCACACCTTCAAACACACAGCCTGGAAAGTAAAGCAGAGTCCAGAATTAGGGCAGAAGCCTTCTTTCAACTTGATGTGATCTTTCCATCCACTGCTCACCTATCTCCCACCCCCACTTCCATTCCCACCCCAACAAGTGTCCTCCTTCACCTGTAGATAAGATTACTACATATTTAAAAAAAAATAAATAGGGTACAAAAGATTGGCACATTGTCATGGGACCAGAAATCCCAAAGATGCCATGAAACTTAACAGTCAAACCCAAGGTGGCCCAACAACAGCAAAAGCACTATAGTGACTCCCGTAGTGAGCCTCTGGAGCTGTGTCAGAATCGTGGTGACCACTACCAGGGGAACCCATCCCTAAGGGGGCAGAAGAAACCAGAGGAAGGCCAAGGGAAAGAGGTCAACTATGAGATAAAGAGCAGATGATGCTAAAGGCTGCCACGTAATGAGTACCAGGGAACTGCACAGCCTCTACAGGCCCTATGTACCCTGATCTCACTCTACTTTCCCAGGAATCCTACAAAGTGGGGTCTCTTATTCCTCATTCCACAAACAAGGAAAACATGGCTGGAGTGGAAGTAATCCACCTGGCAGATAGCCAATTGAGATTCATACTTGAGATTCATACTTGGCTCTGACCCACCCACTGCACTAAGCAGAGGGCCAGGCACAAATGAAAGAGGGGCAGAAGAGGGCAGTAAATGCTCCATGGGTTTTCCACTCCACCCTGTATGTGTTCAAGTGGCTGTGGTCCCTCACAAGTTTGGCTAATAAAAGGATCAAAACTCCGAGTTGTCTCCTAGTCAGAAAGATGCTCAGGACACTGCCAATATTCTAAAGAGATGTCACAGATGACCTGAGGCACAGAGTGCCCAGCAGCTGTGTCCTTCACACTAGGAGAGGACTGTCAATAGCAAAACCACTTTCCTCACAAGGTGCTTGGCCAAGATAGCTGGGGTCCCTTTCCACATAGCAGACTGTGCAGGAAACAGAGCTGCTGGGGGGCAAAACTTAGCCAAGCAAGCTCTTATGAAGGACTAAGGAGGCATCTTCAAGGTCTTCCCACTAAAACTGCCAGAAGAAGCCACCAAATTCTTGGAAGAGCTGCTTCTTAATAAAAAAAGATCAAGAACATTTTCCCCAGCTGGCCTGACCTCTGGCCCCATCCTTCTTAAAGCCAAATATGGCCCTTCATTCAACAGAAAAACACATAGCCGTGTGCCACAAGCCTGAATTTGAATAGGTAAATAAAGTTGAACTTTTAAAAATATGCCCCAGGAATAAGACCTGTTTGATATACACAACCAGGGCTAGCAAAAAGCCACCTCTTTGTGTTCTGGTAATATGGAAAAACTTGGTAAGCATGGTGCCCCCCAGTGACTGCACCCAGCACTGTTCATGAATGGCAGACGATGCCCAGTCTCTCTCTCCAAAGGACACTTCCAACAAAGTGTCTTCAATTCTTTTCTATGTTTGCACCTCTGATTCTGTGACACAGATGGCCAGACGGATAAACCACATAATCTACATTTAACAGCTTAAGTGAAGGAATTTCTCTGAAAATTCTGTTCAAGCTGTTCCCTCATGATCCAGCATCCTTGAGCAAAGAGTCAGATGGGATGGAAGGAACAGACAACCAAGAATGCCCTGAAATCTGTTTCAGGAAGAAACTGACCACAGACTGTACATGTTTGTCATTATGTGGAATACCATTCCCTGATCAATGACAGACGCCAGTCCTTCTGAATTAACAATCATACCCTAAGGCTTCCCTCGACTGTCTCTATCAAAACTTGGCTGAGGCCACTCTCCTAAGACAAAGGATAAGACATGCTGGAGGCAGCTCCTTCCCATGTGCATTCCAAACACTGCCTGTGGGAATGAAGGACAGGGAGCAAAGATGATTCCTGACCTCATATCAGAAGTCACAGAACCTGCCCAGGAAGGCAAGTGGTCAGTGTGTGACACAGGCAGCCTCACTGTTAAAGAAGATTCACCACCCAGGGCACCTGGATCTAAGCAGAATACTTCTCATGGTGTATGGTGAAGTGAGAGGTAGTATAGTGTAGTGGTGAGGTAAGAGAAGGGCCAGGGCCCAGCTATACCTTCAGCCCTTACTCACTCATGTACCTGGGCCTGGTTTCTTCCTGTTGAGCAGTGGACACCACCCCACCCCTCCATGGAAGGCTGTGAGAACTTAGCAGTGCAATATGTACAACCCTGGAGCCCAGCCCTTCCCTTCCCAGGAACACAACCAAAATCAGAATGAAGGAGCCATTGCTCAATTTTTTTTTTTAAGAGAGAGAGAGAGAGAATTTTTTTAATATTTATTTTTAGTTTTTGGTGGACGCAACATCTTTATTTATTTATGTGATGCTGAGGATCGAATCCAGCGACCCGTGCATTCCAGGTGAGCGCGCTACCGCTTGAGCCACATCCCTAGCCCCCATTGCTCAAATTTAAAAACTTCAATGGATGAAATAAATTCACACTGCTGTTTGTGTGCCCACATTTCAAAGACAACCTAAAACATGACTGTCTCCTAAATGAGAAGGCAAGAGGTGATGAGCTTCAAGGCTTTGCATTACCCTTGCTCCCTGAGGGGTCCTATGGTTGTGGGCTGGGGGTGGGGTATCTGAGTCGATTCTGTATCAATAAAGCAACAGTCTGCTCAGAACAACCAAATTCGTATTTGAGAGATTTCATAATTTTTGAATCTGGTTGACAAATAACATTTGTCTCATTACCAGTCCCCAAGCTTGGCTGTGAAAAGAAATGTCAGAGGAGTCCAGGGTCCCACCCTCAGAGGTTCTGATGGAATTGGTCTGAAATGCAGCTGGGCACCAAGCTTCTCTTTCCCTTCACTTTTTCCAGGTGATTCTAACTTGCAGCCTAGAGAACTATGCTCTAGCTTAGCAAAGACCCCATAGACATTTAAGAATGTGGCTCAGGAGGCTGAGACAGGAGGACAGAGAGTTCAAAGCCAGCCTCAGCAAAAGCAAGGCACTAAGCAACTCATTGAGACCCTGTCTCTAAATAAAATACAAAATAGGGCTGGGGATGTGGCTCAGTGGCTGAGCGCCCCTGAGTACAATCCACAGTATCCAAAAAAAAAAAAAAAACAGATTTTGGAAAGAATCACTTTGATGTTTTATAGAAATCTAGTATGAAAAGGAAGCTGAATAAAGACATTCTAAGATATAAGGAAGGTTAGAAGTAGTAGACACTGGCTGTCCTTGTCATTGGAGGTGAGAAAAGACTGAATTCTTTTTTTTTTTATTTGTAATCTACCAAAATATATTTTAAGGACTTATTTTTTTTTCTTTTTTTTTAAATTTTTATTGTTGGTTGTTCAAAACATTACATAGTTCTTGATATATCATATTTCACACTTTGATTCAAGTGGGTTATGAACTCCCATTTTTACCCCGTATACAGATTGCAGACTCACATCAGTTACACATCCATTGATTTACATATTGCCATACTAGTGTCTGTTGTATTCTGCTGCCGACTGAATTCTAAAAAGAGCTCCGCTCTACCACATGGAGGGGAAAGAGCCTAGCTCATTTCTGCACAGTATCCCACCATGTGCCTTCTCATTTCACAGGAAGGTCCCAAGAACAGTGGACCCTCTAGAGAGTAACCTTTCAAAGTAAAGGGTAGTAGCTGTATCATCACCAATAAGGAAGAGTGCTCAGAGAAGACCCAAAATGCAGAACACCTGTTGGAAACACTTGGCTAGCAACTTAAGAGATCAAAAAAACTCTCTCACCTCAAAATCCCCAGGCATATATGAAAGGGCAAGAAAAGATGCAACAGGCCTTTGCAATCCTGTTCAGAAAACTAAGAGGAAACATTCCCAGCCACTAGAAAAGGAAGATCCTTGCTCTCAGTTAGCCAGTGTCCTCTCATTTGTGTCCTCTCAAAAAGACAGTGGGTCCAACTTGTTGAACCACACTGAAAACTTAGACCAGCAAAACCCTAAGCTAAACTCACTAGGGACACAGCTCTCAGTTTTCAGAAAACATCTGGTCACCTCATCACCCGGGTGAGCTCTGGCCAACGTATTGCAATATGAAGCAGTAAAAAGACATTTCTGGAAACAAGTGAAAGCCACAGCCTTTCTTTCCAAAATAAGCGTTACCTGTGGCCCTGCGGAGTGGAAAGCAGGCCTCTGAGAATCCACATGCCAAGACCTACAGCACGTTGTGTTCATACTGGGCACACGGAGGAGGCCAACCAGACATTTCTATGCAAAAGAGCTTGCTTGCTCTTTTAAGTCCATCAGGTACACAGATGTAAAGTGAGGAAAATCCCAGTTGGGTGGGGGGTGGGGATCATGCATACTTGAGAGAAGACAGATTTCAATACTCCTGCACTGCACCAGAGAGCTTTCCAGCCTTCCGTTTCCTGAGAACATTACCTGGACAAGTGGGGCAGCAGGCTCCCAGATGCTCCAAAGGGTTTCTACAGTGAACAACACAGCGTACTTCAGACTGTGTAACGACACCTTCCTGCAAAACAGAATGTCCCAAATCAGTCAGCCCAGAAGTCCTACCGAGGAGCTAATATTGTAGAAAAGTAATCAAGGAAGGTGTTATGGTTTGGAACTGGAACATCCAAGCTCAGCTTAGACAATGCAGCCAGATGCAGAGGTGAAAAGATCAGATTTGTGAGGGCTCTGACCTTGTGAGTGGATTAGTTCATCCTATGGATGGTAATTGTGAGCACGTGAGGCATGGTTGGTAATGGTAAGCACTGGACATTTACCTTGGGGACTGTATCTGTCCCTGGCCCCTCCCTATCCCTATCTCTGCTTCCGAATTGCCATGAGTTGAGCAGCTTTCCTCCACCATGCCTTTGCACCATGATGTTCTGCTTCACCTCAGGCTTAGAGCAATAGAGTCAGCTGACCATGGACTGAGACCTTTGAAACTATGAGCCCAAAATTAAATTTTCTTACTCTACGTTGTTCTTGTCAGGTATTATGTCACAGCAATGAAAAACTGATGAAGAAGGAGAAGAACTGGAAAGGTACAAGATGAGGGTGAGTGTGAGGCCTAGAGATAGATACATGGCACACATGAGGTAAGAGCCATTCACCCTGACCTACTCTGTGGACCTCAGAGTGCAAATCCTGTCTCCTGTTCTTTTTCCTGTTCTTGCACTTTCTCTTCGGCCCTGCCTGCTTTCTTTTAAGTCTAGATTTTAAGGCCTTCTTGCCATCAGTCTGTACCTGACAGTCTGGCTGCTCACTCACAATTGTTTTCAGTACTGGTTATATTTTCTATCATTATTATTACACTTCAAGCCATTAACTGTGAGGAACAGAGTACACACATAACACCCAGGCTAGCATTCAGAGAGCCAGATAAATTCTGACCACCCTTCTAGAAATAACAAGGCTGGTTTTGCAATCTTAAAAATGTAACTTGGTTTCACACAGTCTGGGGTTGGGTTTTCTCTCATATCAAATGAAGAGATATGACAAAACAGTTTCTAAGTTTGTATTTAAGTAAGTCTAAACAGAGACTTCAAGTTTTAGTCATGAAATCAAGTGTGTCATTTGCAAACTCATTTTGAGATTCTACTATCATCTTAATATCAATTGAAATATTTTAAAAATTAATTCTCAGAGTCTGTCTTTGAAGAGTTTCCTCTGTATTCTCTACCCATTTTGTACAGGAATTTGTGATTTTTTGGTATTTATTTGTTTTATTTTGTTTTGAAGGGAGGATAGCACGGGCTGAAGACAGATGTAACCACGTGACAACTAAGCTACTTTCTTCATTATGTATGCCACCATTTAGTACCAATCCAACAAGGAGTGTTCTACACTAAATGTCTTCATATTATATCAGGAATAAGATTTGTAGGACCAGGTGGATTTATTGTAGTTTGTAACACATTTGGAGACAGGAACAATTCTCAAATAGATAAGATTTAAAAAAAAATCCATGTCTTGGTTATGTAACTGAAGCAATGCAAAAATGCTATGATCCAGTCGGGTGTGGTGGCTCAGACCTGTAATCCCAGCAGCTCAGGAGACTGAGATAGGAGGATTGTGAATTCAAAACTATACTCAGAAATGGAGGCAATAAGCAACTCGGTGAGACCCTGTCTCTAAATAAAATACAAAATAGGAATGGGGATGTGGCTCAGTGGACAAGTGCCCCTGAGTTCAATCCTGGTACTAAAAAAAAAAAAGAAAAAGAAAGCTATGATCCAAAGTCAAATTTCCTTCAATGTATGCAATTCCGATGGAGGCTTCAAGTTCGTTTCCAGCATCTCTGATGATCAGGTTGTCCTCTTCTAGTAGGAAATTAAAAATTCATCAGAGGATATAAGAAAGGAGGCAAAATTCAACTCAGACACTAAGGAAATCCTTGAACTCACTGTTGTCTGGACTCTAATTGTAACCACACATAGGCATCTACCAGGAGCATTTTTAATGACAGTCTCGATTATTGCTTCTAACCACCAATGAGAGAGTTCTAGTTATAAAGGGTATAAGTGAAGTAAGAGAGGTTAAGTAACTAGTTATGTGAGCAGCAGAGCCTGTATTTCACCTACTGTCCTACACTGTGTCCTCTGTAACTGATTCTGTGCCCTCAGAAGAGCTTTCGGATAGAGTTTGCAATTGTGTCTGTTCTTTGGAGAAAAAAGAAGACTAGCCTGAGAAGTGAAGATCATTTCCTGCATCCTTTGATGAGGTCTCAACCCCTAAAGACTGGAAGCAAGAGGTGGCAGAGTGGGAAGATTCGAGCTGAGCAAAGGAACAGCTCTATGTAGCTTCCTTCACAGGATCCTGCACCTTTTTGCTTATTGAATGAAATGACATCACACTAGCCAGCAGGGCTTAGGCAAAGTTTTAAAACAGGAAGATGAAAGACAAATTTGATCTTCAGCAGGTAACATCCCCTTTCTGCATGCCACTCTGCAGTTCAGCATTTCCGGACTTCCCATAATAACTTGATTTTCCTGCATCAATTATCTGCAGCCTGTTGAGTGACTAGTAACCAGAGATGATAGGCAATTGAAGGTTTAATGTTAATAACTGATAATGGCTTGTAATCTATTCTTCAGGCAACAAAATATTCCCTCCCTCCATTTAATTTAAACAAGGTCTTCATTCAAAGGCAGGAAAATCTTTAGATACAAGCAACTTCAGGATCAACATGACCTGGGATGGTTGTACACAAATGTTATACTAGACTGCAAAGTTATCCTGTTTAACCAACATTTCAACCAAGGCTTCCAGAACACCCTGCCAAAGAGTGAAAATTACATTGATCAAAAAACAAGGTGGAGGTGAAGTGGTGCAAGTTTGTAAGAAATGTCAGCTTTTGGTGTTATTAAAACTCTTTGCTCTTATCTCTGTATCATGAAGCTGGTTGAATTTATAAACTAGTGTAAAAATTCAACAAATATTTATTGACATAATTAATTTATCATTCACAGCTGTCTTACCTTCTGCTTATTTCACAAATGACTATATAAATAAGATGAATAAATAACTGAAGGTCTTTTGAATGAACATGCTTGCTGTGGGCATATAATAAGAACATGTTAATATAAAATTCATATTTCATAAACTAAATGTCAATATGCATAAGATAAGATCAGAGAGAAATATCTCTTGTGGTTCTCACCTTTTAATCTCCTTTCAATGCAAATGCATTTCCTGAGATTATGAAATGGGATTTGGGATACAATGACTTAATAGCATCTTCGCCACAGAAAATTTCTAAGTTATATTAAAAGTAAATGAGCATTATTTTTTATCAGAGTATTTCTTTAAAGATAAGAAAAGCAGTTTAAAATTTTAGTTCTATGATTCCCTTTGGTTCATCTTTCTGTGTTTAATACCTGTGAGGATTAGAGCCATATGGAATTACTGTTCTTTTTGGAATTCAGCAAGCATCAGCCACAGTGGGCCCCTTGGTTGCTGAAAAAAAGTGGCTCTTGGATTTGTCAGGTTGAAATCATCGAGGTTACAGTGTACCAGTTGCTTCTATTTAATACAGTTTATGGATTGGCTCTGGCTCAAAATCTTTCTAAATCAAAGAAGGAAAACCTATCCCATCTAACAATACCTCTTTTCTGCTAAGAGGAATTCATGTTTTGCTTAAAGATAATTTCAGAGGAAGACATGAATTTTCCCCAAGAATGTATGCATCTTCCTGCAGTTTTTCCAGGCACCGTTTAGCAAGGGTGGACAATTCTGTTGTGTATTTTCTGAAAAAAAAAAAAAAGTCCTATACAATGTCCCTCCTGTACCTGTCTTCTTATGGTGAATGTCACAGTAAAATACATACAAGGATACAGTTGATTTTTCATTTGTTTATCTTTTTTGTTTTTCATTTGAGGGTTTTATTCTGTGTGGTCTGGAAGGGGGAGCTAAGGAGGACCCTGTGGAGTTCTCACTGGTGAGTAAAAAAAAAAAAGCTGGACATTACCTGGCACTGATGCAGGACACAGGGCTCAGCTGGGCTGTGCCATTTGAAGGAGCTGTTGTAGGTATTTCCTTCATAGGTGCAACCTAGGTGGGAAACACAGAAAGAAAAAGAAAGGCCAAAAATGAACATGTGTTTCCTTTATCTTTGGAGCAAAAGAAGTTATATCTAATTACAATAAGACTAGTAATCCCAGGGACCATCAGCTCCCCGGCTATTTTTTCCCAGGACACAGCTAAGCCTTCTAAGTACCTACTTGGCATCCACTTAGGTTAATTCTCTGACTACTAAATCCACTAATTCATGGACTGTGTTTTCAAATGAAACATCACAGATCGATGAACTCTCTTGGCCAAAATGCATGATTTTATTATGCTTAACAAAGTTCTCATACTTTATTACTTCTCATAATACCAGAGCTAAAAGCAGCACTGTGAAAAAGGTGATCTTACATGAGAGCAAAGGAACTCAAAATTGCTGAAGATCAAGAAAGAAGTTTCAAATGTGGCAGGGACTTAAAGCAGAAAACTAAAATAGAGAGACTGATTGCAAAATTCTATACATAAGAACTACTGTCTTCACCGGATAAAACCTTCCAAGGCTTACCTCCTAGCTCGCAGAGCTATGGTTCCCTGGTTCAATTTTATTTTACTCTTAGGTAATGAATTAGATTAAATATATCTGAAACTGCCAATGTATGGATTACTATATGTTAACTCACTGGCCAAAATAAAAGTCATACTTATTCATTGGCAAAGAAAAAAAAAAAAGAAGTCAAAAGACCAGAGAGGCTCCAAAGAGGGAACAATTCATTTAATTGAGATTCCTCAAATAAATAATGGCATAAAGTCAAAGAAATAATGTTGTGAAGAACAAGCCTCAATCTTGATTTAGTTTGTACAAGCAACTTCCACACTGAGGGTTATACTTCCTGGGAAGGTGCAATTGGCTATGCCAACAGTCACTGTAGTCTCAGGAGCCCACCAGGCTTAGAATGTTTAACCCAAAAAGTATAGAAAAGAACACATAGAAGGGATAATACAGAAATCAAAGGGACTGCCTGTCTGTTGCAATGACTTCTGGATACCTAATCATCCTCCATTCTGTTTCAAAGAGGAAAGAATCACTTTCTTCCATGAGTCGTTTTAGATACAGCCGTGGTCAAAAAACTTAATGCATAGAAGCAGAATAATAATGGACTTAGGAAATTTTCAGTAGATGTTTTCATAAACTCAGAACCATGATCTAAATTCCCAAAGAATTATGAATGACTGAACAGAGCTCGGTAATACTCTTCTCTCTAGTTCCTACAAATCAAATTACTAAAGTACACAGCTGATTGGAAACATATTAGGGAAATGCTTTCGCTATATATTTTTTAATTTCCTTTGCATGAAGTGTTACGGAGATAGAGTATTCAACCACAGGAAATTTTAGCACACTACAAATTCTTACGCCAAACCAAGGATGAATACAGTAAATTTTCAACAATGAAAACCAATATAAAACAATTGGGGCTAGCATAAATCTTAGCAAACAAGCACACTTACAATCGACGTGCCATGTGCATGTCTGACCCACTAACACAGACTCACTCAGATAATAAATAACTTGTTCTGAGAGATGGAGGCAGGGAAATCAGAGAACCAAATCCAATTCATGTTAAGTCCAAGTGCATATGAAACGCCTGCCAAGTCTGCCAGTAGAGTTTCCGAATATGCTATATATTTTCATCATCTGGATTAAAAAACTTAAAGAAAGGGTGATTTTTTTTTGCTGCTTATAGAGCAGGCAAAGATCTTGCCATTTTTACTCAGAAGGAAGTGTTGTACAAAACCCATGCAACCCAGGGAGGAAGTGCAGGCCAAAAGATCGTTCTTAACCGATGCCAGGTCATGTGCAAAGGGCTCCAAGAGCAGCACAGGGGCCTCTGGATTATTCCACTCTAAATGGGATAAAGGAATCTAAAGGGATTGGAACAAGTGGTCCACAGTACAGGGAACCCAACAGTGTTTTCTGCTTCAAATAACCGTCCATCCGAAGCATCGTTCCTCCACCATATTCTAACACTTGAAGAAAACTGGGCAACAATATTGGAAAATCAGACCAAGGTCAGACTGTGAAGTGCTTCATTGCTTTACTGCCCTTGTTCATACGTCAATCTATCAAACCTGAATCAAAGTAACAGATTTCCTCCAATGATGGATGACTCTGAATTACTAAAAAGACTCAAAAACATCTGGGAAAATCTCCACAGCAAGGGAAATCCACGCCTTTTCCTTCCTCCCCTACCCTCACTAGCATTAGCTAGTTATGGAGACTGCGGTACATCAGGGATCAGAGGAGCTTTCATAGGTAAGGATTCTCAGAAATAAGATAATTAAAGAAAGGTTATTACCACTCTTAGGGCTCATGTTCAAAGATAAGCATGTTATCTTAGTGAAAGACACTAAGGAGTACTATATGAAGATGTAAGTAATCAAATAAAAACTTAAATATACTCCAGAAGTAAATCACCTCTTATTTTCTTTTTTCTTTTTTTTTAAAGAGAGAGAGAGAGAGAATTTTTTAATATTTATTTAATTTTTTTTTTAGTTTTTGGTGGACACAACATCTTTGTTTTTATTTTTATGTAGTGCTGAGGATCAAACCCAGCGCCCCACACATGCCAGGAGAGCGCGTTACTGCTTGAGCCACATTCCCAGCCCTCACCTCTTATTTTCTATAAGGTAAATTTCTTTGTAATAAATTCTATTTGTCACCAACTTTATGTTGATCACAGGGTACACACATAAAACCTTGCCCTCCTTTTTTGTTTAAGCCTCAGAGGCAAAATATACTAACTCTCTTTTTGGCCAGAATAGAAAGAGGGGCAAAGAAAAATTTCCACCATATATCCAGGTAGAGTTTTCATGCTGCCTATCATGAAAGACGAGTTTTATTTTTGTTTTTCCAATCCAACGCAGACTGATACTTTGAAAAATATAATAAAGATGACTTACTAGAATAATTGAATTTAAAAGACTATGCAAAATGATGTAAGCCCATTTTTTATTATTACATGTAATAGTTATAGAATCCTCTGTCACTGAGCCACATCCCCAGCCCTTTTTATTTTTTATTTTGAGACAGCGTCTCACTAAGTTGCTTAGGGCCTTGTTAAGTTTGTGAGGTTGGCTTCCAACTATTGAGTATCCCACCTCAGCCTCCCAAACCACTGGGATTACAGGTGCACTCCACCATAACCTTTTTTTTTAAATGATATTTACATAAACTTTCTACAAGAAAATTTGTAAACACCCATTCACTTTTCCTCTGGTATCAAAGAGCTTTTGAGATTCCACAAGTTTCAATAAAACCATTAGTACTACAGAAGGAAGAAGTGGTTATTTTCTGATAAAATCACACTATATTTAAACCAGTAGTTTGAAACCAAGGGAGATTTTGCCTCTCACCCCTTCTCCCTCTCAGAGACTTTTGGCTATGTTAGGGGACATTTTTGGTTGTCACAACTAGAGGATTAGGGATATTCCAGGCATCTAGTGGGGTAGAAGCCTGGGATGCTACTGAACAGCTGACAAGGCACAACAAAGAATTAACCAGCCCAAAATATCAATTGTGCCAAGATTAGGAAATACTGACTTAAACCATCATGGAGAGTTCAATAATCTTCATTTATGTCTAAAAAAATACAAAAATGAGCCTAAACTAGTAATACTTTGTTTTTATATGCATTTGGGCTCTTTTTAGATTAAATATTTTCAGAGTGAAGAAGAACTTCATGGTATTTTTTAGCAGACATGCTCTTGTAGAGAAGCTCTGCTTAGTCAACCAGTCATCTCCGAAAACACATGGCGATGGAAACAGGAAGAAGACAAATTAATTGAATCCACAGTTAAACAATAAAACTCATTTTTCCTATTAGTTGCAACCTTTTGCAGTGGCCACATTATCCCAAGGGAGAGAGAATACCACACATTTTCATCATTCTGTTGTTAAAATAACTGTTGAAAATCATCACGACCATAAAAAATGGCACTGGCCTTTGAACAAGTCTTAAATGTGCCTGGTTTCGCCCTTCTAGTCTAAATCCTGTCACTGCTTATGCTAACCTGAGCCTTAGAGCAAAGAACTGGAAGTTATCATCACCGGTAGCTTACCCAAAGTCCCTCACAGTGTGTCCCCAATCTACATTTGGAGTCCTTTCCCTCATCCCTAGAACACCATCATGGTTCCTGGGGTTGCTTTCTCAATGAACCTGCGTGCTTCTGAATGTATGTTCAAGTTCTCAATGGGCAACCTGGCTACTGTGGGATGGCCATCCACCATCCCCATGAAACTTATCCTCTCAGGCTGCAGTTCTCTTCCGAAGTGCATAATCAAAGGACACTGGGTCTTTATCTTATACGACCTCTCTCACACCTTTCTTCTTCAACCCCCCTCACACATTTTAAAAACTCTCTTCCAATTCTTTCCATTCCCTCCATTCTGGCCTCAGATAAGCTGCAGGTTATTTCTCACCTGGACTGTTACAACAGCTCACTGAATATTTTTCCTGGTGTGGTAAAGATGGTATCTTTCAAGTCGTCCTCCCCAATAGCTGCCAGCATGTGCCTTTTCAAGTCCAAATTTTATTATGTCATTTGCTAACTCGAATTCTATCAATGACGGATGGTGCTCAGCCTGGCTGAGATGTAGACTATGTACCAACCCCCCAATCCTTCTTCTCCTGACCAATCGGATCAGAATCTCTAGAAATAGGAAGTGGGAAAAGGAATCTAATGTACAGCTGGGATTGAAAACCACTGACCTTTACTCTAAAATTAAAACTTGTTGGTATATCCAGTCACATCTTGGCATCCATAACGGATAGCTCCAGGACCCCAGAGAATAGCAAAATCCACAGACACTCCCTTCAGAAAACATGGTGTATATTTGCATATAACCTACACACACCCTCTCACATACTTTAAATCATCTCTAGCTTACTTAAAATATCTAATATGATGTGACTACTATATAAATAGTTGTTATACTTAATTGCTTGGGGAATAATGACAGGAAAAAAAGTCTATACATATTCGGT